AGAGAGAGATTTGTGAATTTAAAATTTTAAAATAAAAACTTATCCCTAAATATTTGAGTCAAAAGGCGACCCATCAATTAAATTCATATAAAAGGACGTACCTGGATCTGTAAAGAAAAAAAACAATTTTTTCCCTAAATATTTCGAGAGATTGCTTCCACTTCATCAATTTATTGCATAAAGAGGGAGAAATCTCTCGAAATATTTTAAGAAAAAATTGTTTTTTTTTTATAGATCCAGGTACGCCCTTTTATATAAACTTATCCCTGGAATCCTGAAAAAAAGTCTTGAAATTGATAAAATGAATAGTTTTTTTCGAAAAGAGAAAAATATTAATTCAACTGAGTACAAGTAGACTTATAAAGTAATACTTAAAGCCTCCCCGCATAAGTTTCTTTTTTTTGTGAAAATCAATATTAATATCAAAGAGAAATATGTACTATTTCTAACTTTTTGGATGACGTATGAAAAGGTTGAATATATGAAGAGTAATGGTCTATATATGATTGGATGACGTATGTGTAACATAAAAAGACTATTATGTTTATTGACTTTTGACCATGATTATTAATGTTGTATTATATAAGAATATAGTGTAGAACAAGCGCAGCCATGCTTGTAGTAAATAAAATATATTACAATTAAAGGGTGGTAATTAATTAATAAAATATAATTACTAAATAAAATATAAATAATATAAAACCACAACGGCTACGTAACATGGTGGCAGCGGAAAACGAAGAAAAAGCTTAAAAATTTAGAAGCAAACGAAGTAAAAGAAAAAGTCTATACCTCTAAAGTAAGTAAATTTTTATATATATTTTTTTCAATTTTGAAAAAATAGATTATACAAATTTTGGAAAATGGATCATTTTAAACCTCCATCTCAATTTGAATTAACTATAAATAATGCAGAAGCATGGGAAACATGGAAGTATAAATTTTTATTATATTCGGACGCCATACAACTAGAAACTAAGCCAGTTAAACAGCAACGCGCCATTCTTTTACATAACATAGGTGATGACGCTTTAAATATATATAAAACTTTCGGCTTGCAAGAAACATTAACTAACCCTACAATTACTGAAATCCTGGAGAAATTTGATATCCATTTCAAACCATTTAAAAATGTTATTTATAGAAGATATAATTTTTTTTCGGAAGTTCAAGATAAAAATCAATCGTTTGATGACTTTGTCACAAAAGTAAAAAATAAAGCTGTAGATTGTGATTTTGGAGATCTTACAGAATCATTAATTAGAGATAGAATAGTTCTGGGAGTACTGGACAAAAATCTAACGGAAAGGTATCTTCAAGATCGTGATTTAACTTTATCAAAAGCAATAGCCCTAGGACGAGCTGCAGAATCATCCAGGACACAATTAAAGGAAATAAAGGAGGAGGTAACTGTGAATAAGCTATCTAGTTATAAAGAAACACCTAGTAATAAAAATACAGAGCATAAATTTGCAAAGAAAAATCATAAATTTTTCAAGGCTTGTAGAAAATGTGCCTCAAAACATAATTATGGTAATTGCCCAGCATACGGTAAACAATGCAATAAATGCAAAAAACCTAATCATTATGCAAAATGCTGTAAAAATAAAATAGTACATGACATAGCTGAAAATGATATATACATGCATGTACTTTCGGTTGATAATATATTAAGAGATGGCTGGTTTGAAACCATCTATATACAAGGGCACCCTATAAACTTTAAAATTGATACCGGTGCGGATGTTAATATATTACCAGTAGCATCACTAAAATTTCTGCAAGGAAAATATGTGATCACACCAACCAATAAAAATATATTTACCTACACTAAAGAAAGAATACCAATAGTGGGTGAGGTAGAACTGGAATGCCAATTCCAAAGTAAAAAGAGTAACTCGAAATTTTTTGTGGTTAAATATCAGACTATACCAATTTTGGGATTAAAAGATTGTTCTAGATTTGGATTAATCGGAAAAGTTAATTCCCTCCATCAATGCATAAATAATATCTCGTCTGAGGTTATTTTAAATAAATACAAAGATGTTTTTGAAGGAGTTGGACTTCTTAAAAATAAACAATCTATCCTTATTAAGGAGGATGCCATTCGCCAGGTATATACAGCAGGAAGACTCCCCTTGGCCTTGAGAGAGCCAGTTAGAGAGGAACTTGAAAAAAAGAGTAAATTAGGTGTCATAAAGAAAATAAATAAACCTACTGAATGGAGTCATCCAATGGTAGTAGTTAAAAAACCTAATGGAGATGTACGGATATGCATTGATCCAAGAAAACTCAATTATTGGATAAAAAGAGAGAGATACATGATGCCTTCCCCAGAGGAAGTGTTAGCTTTGATTCCAAAGGCAAACATATATACCGTCCTTGATGCAAAATATGCATTTTGGCAGATACCCTTAACTGATGAAGCATCACTATTAACCACAATGTCTACACCATATGGGAGATATTGTTACACAAGGATGCCGTATGGATTGAGTTCCGCTCCTGAAATTTTTCAAAGAATAATACATCAATTATATTTGGGTGTGCCAAATGTTGTTACCTATATGGACGATGTACTCATATATAGTGACAGTGAGACTGAGCATCTAAAAATACTAGAACAGGTATTGAAGATTGCCAGAGAAAATGGACTGAAATTTGATAAGACCAAAACACAGCTAATGCAACCATCTGTGAGATACCTGGGACACATAGTTTCAACGGAAGGAATACGACCCTTGGAGTCTAAGGTAAAAGCTATACTGGATATGCCTAGACCACAAGACAAGAAAGCCCTTCAAAGATTCCTTGGCATGGTCACGTATTTGGCTAAATTTTTGCCAAACCTTTCGGATAAGACAGCAAATATGAGACTGTTGCTGCGTAAAAATGAACCTTGGGTATGGAATGACCTAAGAGATAGGGATTACAGAGATCTCAAACTACAATTAACGAGTGCACCATGCTTAAGACACTTTGATCCCAAACTAGACATAGAAATTTCAACAGATGCGAGTTCAAACGGGTTAGGTGCAGTTTTACAGCAACAGGGTGTCCCTATAACTTATTCATCTACTGCCCTGTCTGCCGCACAAAAGAAATACTCTCAAATAGAGAAAGAACTCTTAGCAGTCTACTTTGGATGTAAAAGAAACCATTTGTACCTTTATGGTAGAAAATTTACGGCTTTTACCGATCACAAACCACTGCTTACTATAATGAAAAAACCAATGGTAGATTTGTCACCAAGACTACAACGCTTAGTATTGCAACTACAGCATTATGACTTTGATCTTAAATATATACCTGGAAAAAATTTATATACAGCTGATGCGCTGTCAAGGGACTACATAGCTAATGATTTATTCATAACCCCAGAGATAGAAATATCTCAAAATAACCAAGTTCTTATGGTTACTTATTCTAATAACCGTCACCAAGATCTTGTTGAAGCAACTAATAACGACCCTGTACTGCAAGAGGTTAAAAATTATATTGAAAATGGATGGCCAATCCATAAGAAAACTATGAATCCCCTCGTCAAGCCATTTTGGGATATAAAAGAAGAACTATTCGAGTGGGAAGGTCTATTGTGCAGAGGCGTCAAATTAGTAATCCCCGAAAAGAGGAGAAATCACATATTGAGCCTACTTCACAAGGCTCATAGAGGAATTAACTCGACATTATCCTTGGCAAGAAGTACATTTTATTGGCCAGGAATGTGTCAAGAAGTGGAAGAATTTTTAAAGAAATGTCGAATATGTCAAAAATATTCTAGGAATAACACTAAAGAACCTCTTATACCTCATGAAACCGGCAATTATCCATTTCAAAAAATCGGAGTTGATTTATTTGAAATAAAGGGAAGGAAATACTTAGGAATTGTAGATTATTACACCAAGTATCCGGAAGTGTTTGAACTCAGGTCAACAAAAGCAGAAATGGTTATAGAGAAGCTCAAAGAAGTTTTCGCCAGATTTGGAGTCCCCGAGATCATGATGACTGACAATGGACCGCCTTTCCAATCCACAGAGATGATGGAGTTCGCCAAAGAATGGAATGTGACTCACACAACCTCGAGCCCAAGATTCCCACAGTCCAATGGCATGATCGAACGAACTATCCAGACTTTAAAGAGTACCATCATCAAATGTCAACAAAGTAAACAGGATATATATCAGGCACTACTACTTCTAAGAAACACTGAGCATAACTCATTGCCATCTCCAGCTGTCATGTTGTATGGGAGAAAGCAGAGACTCTTTTTGCCTATGAAGACAACACTGATGAACGAGAGCAGAATTTGCGAAGATTCCATCAGGAAACAGCATGAAGCTAACCAAAGCAGAATGAAGTTTTATTTTAATCGACACGCAATGGATCTCCCTTCATTGGAGAACGGCCAGTCTGTGTTGGTCAGACAAGAGAAGCAATGGTCCCCAGCTAAAGTTATAGCCCCTGGAGTTCACCCCCGATCTTATCTTCTAGAGGACACCAAAGGATCAGTTCTTAGAAGAAATCGACGAGATCTACGTCCAGCTGATACCTTATCAGGACCTACGGAAAAAGAAAGTCCTCCAGAAAAGCAAGAACAACTTGACCCTCAACCATCTACATCTTCCCAGAGCGAGGAGACTTCAGCCACAACTAGAACCAGATGCGGAAGACTAGTTAAACCCCCAGTGAGGTTGAATCTTTAAGGAAAAAGGGAAGAAGGGAGAAAAGGAAAAAGAAAAAAAAAAGACATGTAACATAAAAAGACTATTATGTTTATTGACTTTTGACCATGATTATTAATGTTGTATTATATAAGAATATAGTGTAGAACAAGCGCAGCCATGCTTGTAGTAAATAAAATATATTACAATTAAAGGGTGGTAATTAATTAATAAAATATAATTACTAAATAAAATATAAATAATATAAAACCACAACGGCTACGTAACAGTATGAAAGGGTGAAAATGTGAAGAGTAATGGCGAACGGAAAAATAAAAGTGTCCAGGGGCGGGAATCGAACCCACAACCTTCTGCTTACCGGGCAGGTGCCATGTCCACTGTTGGCTGATGCAATATTCTGTCTTCTTTCAGAAGATCCTTAACTTGGACTGGAATTCTCGAGGAAGTTATAAAACCTTGTAGAAATCGTTCATTAGCATAACCATCATGCAGAAATACCGTTGATAATTTGATATTCTTTCATTATGAGGGAGGCAATTAAAGGCACACACATCTCAAATGAGAAAAAAAAACCTATTTCAATTTATCAAGTTTTAGGGATAAAAAAGAATAGAAATCGAATCCCTAAAAACATGAACAATTTTTAATAGAAGAGAGAAATAATGATAACCCAACTCCGCCTTTGCCGGTCCCAAGCTCGGATGAAAAAGGAGGAGGGGGAGCAGTAACAAGCTCACTAAAAAAAACCTGGGTTCAGCTGGCCCGGCTGATAGTACCCTGTAAGGGCTCCTAATCCAGGGATACAGAATGAGCAGCGTCTGTACTCCATGTTAGGAGCGGCTGCACATGGCGTCTGTTCCTCATGTCAGAGGCGAACATTTTTTTTTTTTTTGGAGCTAAGTCGGCCTGCTACTGAGTAGTGCTCCCAGTCTTGATGACAAAGACAGACGCATTCTACTTCACCTAGTGTGGAGATAAGAAAGAAGAAGGATAACCCAGGCCCCTGGAGCGTAAAAAAAAAAACGCCAACTACCCGGGCTGCTCAGCAAACTAGTAGAAACCAGTTACTAGCGATTATATTTACACAGAGCCAATTGCAGAGCCGAACCAACTGGTTTCAATAGAACGATTTCTTAGCTATATAAGTAAGCTTTTTTAATTGACTTTGAATTAATATCTACAATTTTATCTAAAACAAATCCTAATTTGTTTCATATTACAATAAATTTATCAGTTTATCATTAACTTTATACAAATATAATTATAATTATTAAATACAAATTTATCTCTAAATTAGTAAAAAGTTTTTAAAACTCATTTAGATTTCGTAAATGTTAATAAAATGCAACAAAATTAAATCAAAACATTTTCGGTAAAAAAAAAAACATTCAGACAAAACTTTTTAAATTCGCATACATAACAAAATATGAATATTCGAAACTATTATAGAGGCGTATGATTCTTTTGAAAATTAAACAATTTCTACTGTTCTTAGTGCAATGGAAAAATTAATGGGAGGGCCTGGCTCATCAGTGGTGATCCCCCCCCCCAGTGGTTTCGCCAGTTTAATCTACCATACCGCTGTCATATGTAATTCTGCAGTCCTCAAAGCTTATGTCCATAGTTCATCTAAAATACTCATTCCAAAAGTAGTCCTAGCATCAGTATCACTATAAATGTAAGTTCCAAAAATACAATATAACAGCGGTATGGTAGATTAAACTGGCGAAACCGCTCTGAGGGTTCACAACTGATGAGCCAGGCCCTCACTTTAATTTTTCCATTGCAATAAGGGCAGTAGAAATTGTTTAATTTTCAAAAGAATCATACGTGTCTATAATAGTTTCGAATATTCATAACAGATGGCACGCTATGCAGCATAATAATTAAATCTAAAAATAAATAGGATTAAATATAAACACCTCCCAACCCTCCAAGAATAACACCTCGTTTTATCATTCATCAAGTTCAATTTTCCAAAAACAGAGCTCATCCTTTCAAGAATAGATCTCATATCTCGAAAAGCAAAACTCAACCTTTAAAAAACAAATCTGACGTTTCAAAAGATAGCCAACACTCTATAAAAATAGAATCCCGTATATCCTAATCTCAACCCTTCAAGAATAAAATACACCTCTTGAAAATCAAAACTTTACATCAAGAACAGAGCATTATTAAGAATAGAAACCCGCTTTCCCAAGACAAATTAAAAATTTCCTGTTATTCATGTTATTTTTGGTTCGGCTTGTTTAAATATTACTATGAAGGTGTAATATTTACACCATTAATTTAGTGACTAATTCCAACAATATATTAAACATTTTTGATGTGTGTAAATAAACTTTATTTCTTGTATGATTATTGCTCTAAAGTGTAAATTATAATAACTTTCATTCTCTCTTTAAAACTATAAATAATTTGTTATTTAAAAACTATGTACATAAAATAGATTAAACATTCACACGCAAATATCCACATAGGATATAGCGTGTGTTTTGTAATAAATAAATAAATAACAAAAATGTATATTTGACATAAGAATATATAATATTTATATATAAAGACTAACACAGGTTTATAGATTATGAAAAAAGGCATCTCCTTATCGTGCAACTGAAAGTTGCTGATGGCTTGCGCCTATCTATCGCCTAAATATATCCTATCTATCGGAATAAATATCACCTATTCTTGTTGATTTTTAATTATTTCAGATAGTTAAACATCAATAGGAATAGTTAAAATTCAACGATTAGTTAATATTTATTCCGATAGATGGCGCAAGCCTTCAGCAACTTTCAGTTGCACGATAAGGAGATGCCTTTTTTCATAATTTATGCACCTTACCCCAGTACAATATTACATTTGTACTATTTTTTCACAAGTGTATAGGTCAAAACATATTTTCCTAGACATTTAAAACTATTCAGCTTGTCTCTATGTCACAGAATGTATGTGCAGCATTTCGACCACTACCTCTCCATTTCTCTCAGAGGGGAATACAAGCATCTGGGCATCAACATCCTGGTAAGTTGTGAAATTCCTTTCTCTCCAGAAGTGTCTATTGATGTCTTAAACAAACTATTCGTTAAATATACGGTGACTCTTTCCAAATATACCTGAAAATATCATCGAAAGCTTGCAAATAATGTAGGTAGCGCTCTAGGGAATGCAAATCAATCAGAGAGCGCGCCGGGGAAGCCCGATCAATCAGAGGCCGTCGGGGAAGCCCGACCAATCAGAGAGCACGCCGGGGAAGCCCGACCAATCAGAGAGCGCGCTAGGGAACTCCGACCAATCAGAGAACGCGCTGGGGAGGTCCGACCAATCAGAGAGCGCGCCGGGGAAGCCCGGCCAATCAGAGAGCGCGCTGGGGAAGTCCGACCAATCAGAGAGCGCGCTTGGGAAGCCCGACCAATCAGAGAACGCGCTGGGTAAGTCCGACCAATCAGAGAGCGCGCCGAGGAAGGTCGACCAATCAGAGCGCACTCATGCATCTATGTTCTTTGTTTCCCGTAAATGAGAGTGATTCTCGATGCTTGTGTGTTGTCATTTTTCATCTTTCGTAATAAATGAAGTTAAAATAAATCGTTTAAACAGAGATCTTTAGCGATCCCGCGAGCTTATTGGGACCATCCTGTGTGTAGCAACACGGCGCAACAAATATTAGTTTTATTGCTATTGTTAAATTATATCTTTGATATGTATATAGGTTTCGTGTATTTTATAGTTGTTGTTTTGTTTGTTGCGTGAATCACTAGTTTTATATTATTAACTCTAATATGTTGAATGAAAGGCAATAACGCGTCATATCTATACACAAGGAAATATAAAACTACTAGGCATGAAAATTTCTTTTACAAATAATCGAAACTTCTACTGTCCTTACTGTGTTGAAAAATAATGGGAGGGTATGGTTCATCAGTGATGAACCCTCCCAGCGGTTTCACCAATTTAATCTACCAGACCGCCTTTTAGAGCTTTAATACTGTATTGTACTATTCTGATTATATATGAAACAGTGAAGGATGGAATCTTAGGTATTGTATTTTAGCAAACTATAGACATAAGATTTTAGAACAGTAGAATAATATATATATAGGTGTTTGGATGCATAGTGATATACATTGTCGAATTTTGACCTTCACTACCAACCATAGAATAACATATATCCTTTATTATCGCATATATAAGCATAATATAAACACAATATATCTATATTCTATGATAACGGTTAATGTGTGATACAGGCACTCACCCCTTACTACGTTGTCACCAAATTGTCCAAGATCAAGAGCGTCTCTGTGACAACGCCCACTCCCAAGGACTACGTTGACAACGCCATGAGAAGTTTTCTGGATGTACCTCACGTCTATGGCTACCCAGTACACTGGATATTGGTAAATCTTGACTTCACTGATACAAAGATTCGTCAAGCCTACGCTTATCATTACTGACTCTTCATTTACTTTCTACTCAAAACGCTATCAAATGAATAACTATCTAATATTAGAGTGGATAAATAGAGTTCATTTGGTATCCACATGAAATCAAATGAAATCTTCACAATCTGCCAAAATGTCTCTAGATAGTAGAGTCAAATGTAGATGTCAAATCTAGGGTCAAAATATAGATGGAAATTTTGCCGAGAGGAAATTGATCTATAAAAATAAAGGGCGCCTCACGCCAAAATAGACACTAAAACTAAGCAAAATTTCTATCTAAGAATCATTTTAGTACTTTTTGCTACCATCTCATCATACTTATTGTGATTAAAAACCAATCCATCTCTCTATTGTCCTCTGGCGTCTTCCTTATTTACATACTTTAAAATTCGGTAAACTAAGGTCATCCCATACCGACCTTAACACCTACAAACCTATTTTGTTTTCGAACAAAAAAATATGAAAATAAAGGTCACAGATGCCTTTAAGAAAACCAGAAGTCATTACCAACAGATCACTGAGTTTTAACGAGGTCGTGTAATAGGGCTACGAAAAATTGGAATTCATTTTCGCCATGTTCCAGAAAGACTTGGCGGATATGTATCCACCGTGCCGTATTTGTCACGTTTCTGTGATGCACCGTACTTTATTTGCAGCGGAAATGAAACGGTTAAGTTGGAAACAGTGACATAATGATGACCGATGAACACCTCCAAGCCAGACGTCCAGTAGCATTCATGTCACTGACTCTAAATTAATGCCATCTGTGACATCAGTGGTGTCAACTTAGAGCTCATTAGAGGACGGAATGGAGAGAGCTGTTGTGTTTAAAGATTAGAACATCTTTTTTATGGTAAAAGGATGGGAGGAATGTTGGATAGAAGGAGGAACATGAGCGCTCGGAACCAAGTTGTCTATAGCGGAAACACTGGATTTATATCAGGAGATA